TGCTGCCAGGGCTGCTGCCGCAGCAGCTGTCGGCTTTGTTGATGCAACTAAACCAAATAACGCTTTGGGATCCGCGGGAAGACTCGCAGCAGCAACAGGCAAAGACAGCCCTCTCTGCAGAACAGGGGAAGACGCCCATGCGGCAGGAGCAGCAGCAGCAGCAGCAGCTGAAGAGGCTGCTGCTGGAGTGCTGAGCCCGCGCCCTCTGGTGCGGAGCCGCAGCAGCGAAACCAGCAGCAACGGCAGCAGCAGCAGCAGCAGCAGCAGCAGTAGTAGCAGCAGCCGCAGCAGCAGCAGCAGCAGCAGCAGCAGCATGAAGAAAAGCAAAAGTGCTGGAGGGGCGCTGACTCGGGCTGTTTCCTTTGGGGGCAATTTGCACCGCGTGGTGTCTCAAACTCTTTTTGATGGAGCTGCTGCTGCAGTTTTAACTGCAGCAGCAAGAGCTGAGACGGCTGCTGCTGCTGCTGCAGAGGCCGTTGCTGCTGCAGCAGAGCACGGCGGCGCAAGCAGTAGCAGCGGGTCGGAGTCGTATCTGTCGGTAAGTAGGCACCCAATGCTGCTGCTGCCACTGTTGCTGCTGCCGGTCTCGCCTGTGCTGCTGCTGTTCTTCTGCCTTTGCTACTGCTGCAGCCCGCCCTGAGCTGCAACAGCTCCTGCTGCTGCTGCTGCTAACAGCCAGTTGCTGCGCGCCTTTGCTGCTGCTGCGCTGGTGCCCAGGCAGTAAGTGAGGAGGAAGCAGCAAGTGGAGAAGAAGGCCCTTTTAATGGAGGTGGTTTTGCTTCTCCTCGGCAGATGCCTTCTGGCCAGGGGGACAGCAGCAGCCCATCAGATCAGCGGCAGGCGTGGCTTGGTGCTGCTGCTGCTGCTGCGGCTGATTCTGGGGCTGCAGCGGGCAGAGGCGTCGGCAATTCGTTCCCTGAAGACAGGTCTAGGGGCAGCAGCAACGGCAGCAGCAGCAGCAGCAGCACCTTCAGCTTCAGCGCACTGGCAAGGGCCATCAGCAGCGAGGCGACGACCGACTTGCCGGAGTCGTTCGAAAGAACGCCAGCAGCATCGTCCCACGGCTTGCAGCAGCAGCAGCAGCAGCAGCAGGTGCTGCAGCGCGACGCGAGCCGGTGTGAAGCGCAGCCTTTGCTGTCGCTCGAGGGCGGCGCAGCAGCAGCTCGGCCCACAGTGTCGCCGCGGCTGCGGCAGCGGTCAGCAGGTCCTGCGTCGGGGTCTGGAAAGGACGGCCGCAGCAGCAGCAGCAGCGTGAGCAGCAGCAGCAGCAGCAGCGGGGTGGGTTCGGCCTCGTCCCCGTCTGCTGCTCTCGAGCTGGCCAACCTCGTCAGCGTCGACTGCGAAAGAACTCAAGTGGGCATTTGTGTGCTGCACGAGCTCTGGGCAGCTCCTTTGACTTTGGCCCTTAACCTCCTTTTGGTCTACAGGCAAATCCCCAGTGCTTTCCTCTACGCCGTCGCCGTCACAGGTGAGGCGCTGCACTTCGCCAGCGCCGCAGCATGCGCAGCAACAGCAGCAGCAGCAGCAACAGGAACAGCAGCTGAAGCAACAACAGCAGCAGTAACAACAGCAGCAGCACAAGCAGCACTAGCAACAACAGCAGCAGCAGCAGCAGCAGCAAGAGGAACTCGTATGTTTGTGTGGGGTGCGTGGGTTTTTGCAGGAGTGTGTCTGTTGGTGCAGCTGCGGCTGGGGGACTGTCTGCGTCAGCTGACGCACCGGATGATGAGCTGTCGAGACACCCGAGTGCGGGCGTGTCGGGAGCTGCTGCTGCACGTGCGGGAAACGAAAGTGCTGGGGTGGGAGAGCCACGCGTTTGGCCGCATTTGGAGTTTGCGGCTGCCGGAGCTTCGCTTTCTGAGCTGCCGCTACTACTTGCATGCAATCAGCAACTGCCTCTTCGTGTCCACGCCGCTGGTGGTGAAGGTAACTGCCCTCACTTGCCTCGTGGCCCGCGGAGAGGGCGGGGGTGGGGGGGCCACGCGGGCCAGCAGCCTCTTTGCTGCGTTGGCTCTCATAGACAAGGCTCTGCAGGCCCTCAACTCTTTGCCCACGCTCATGGGCGACTTGACTGCTGCTGCGGTGGCTCTCAAGCGCCTCGGCAGGTGTCTCAAGCCCCCGGCGGCCGCGGTCCAGCTCCAGCTCCAGCAGCAGCAGCAGCTGCTGCAGCAGCAGCGGCAGCAGAAGGAACGCGCACAAAAACTCAAACGCAAACAGCAGGGACAAACCGCAGAGCCCGGAACCAGTGGAACAGACGCGTCCGCGGAGATGGGGATGCCAGCAGCAACAGCAGCAGCAGCAGGGGCGCAAGCTGCGGCGGAAGCAGCAGCAGCAGGCATTCCCCCGGACTCTGCTGTTGTTTGCTTCCGCCGCGCCGCATTCGCCTGGAGGCCCCTGCGGCCAAACGAGCTGCTGCCAACTTCTGAGCCCTGTCTTTCCCCCACTGCCTTGGCAGCAGAAAGCCCCCAGACGGGCAAGGCAAGCGTCAGCGCAAGCAGCAGCTGCGCCAGCAGCAGCAGCTGCAACAGCACCCGTTCCGTGCAGCAAGTGGCCTCCATACTCAGCCGCGCAGCAGACCGCCCCCCGCTGGCCGGGGAAAGCAAAGGGCCGTACTGCCTGCGCAGCAGCAGCGCAGTGCTGCACGACGCAGACATGCAGATTAACCCGGGAGAGCTGCACCTAGTAGTTGGCAAGTCAGGCAGCGGAAAGAGCAGCCTCTTAGCTGCAGTGCTGGGCGACATGAACCTCGTGAGGGGGGAGGCCTACCTCAACCTGCCCCGGCCTGCCACCAGCAGCAGCAGCAGCACCTGCAGCAGCAGCAGCAGCAA